ATGCCTCCAACCCAGCCCAACCCTGGCCAGTACGCGCTGACGAACGGGGATCCACTGAATGGTCATTGCTATCTGTCCGGATACATCTCGTTATTGCTGCGGGCCGAGCCTTACCCGACGTCCCGGTACGGGAGCCAGTGCATGCAGCCCAACAATATCATGGGTATCGAGAACATCTGCGAGCTGGCGGCTCGTTTGCTCTTCAGCGCCGTGGAGTGGGCGAGAAACATCCCTTTCTTTCCCGACCTGCAGATCACCGACCAGGTGTCCCTTCTCAGGCTGACATGGAGCGAGTTGTTTGTGCTTAACGCTGCCCAGTGCTCCATGCCTCTACATGTGGCCCCTCTGCTCGCCGCGGCGGGCCTCCACGCCTCACCGATGTCCGCGGACCGCGTCGTGGCTTTCATGGATCACATCCGAATCTTCCAGGAGCAAGTGGAGAAGCTTAAGACTCTGCACGTAGACTCGGCAGAGTACAGCTGCCTCAAGGCCATCGTGCTTTTTACATCAGGTGGGTGTCCAACATGTCACATAGGAACGTGTCAATTGTCAAATGAGGCCTATATGCAGTAATGTTACTTGGGAGCGAGGCTCGCAAGGGCGAAGGACTGTGGCATGAAGAATATGGCTGTCAAGTATAGGCTGGTCACAAATCTGAGTTTACGAGATGCTTGTGCTGCCAATGGAATAGCCATTTTGTCGACCACATGCTAAATGTCCACTTAAATGCATTCCCATGTCAGTTACAGCCGCAGCCTAAGATGTGCACAAACAAAACCATAACGATTGAGCGTTTTAAGGTGTAACACCCAGTCCACTGCGTTTAAAACAGGATATAATTGACAGTCTCCTGTATGTAAACATATGATCATTTGGGGGTTTCAACTTTTTTCTTGAACGTGTCTCAACCAAGACCCAGGCTGTAGGTACGCGGCCATAAATTTTGGAACAGGTGTCAAATAATTGAGCGTAAAGATGAAATAGTCGATCACTCGGTGATATATGACAGCTGATGGATTTATGAGTGTTGGTGCATGCTTTTATCCTTGTTTGGTGTGCACAAACACGTGTCTTTGGGGGCAGGAAATAATCCCTAGCAGACTGAGATCAAAAAAGCTGATGGAAGTTGGCTCATATGTCAGTGTATTGTTTCTGTAGGACAGAGCAGAACAGAGCAGAATGTGGATTAATCTTAGCTGACCTATTAATTTTCTTAGTTATTGAGAATAGTTTCTCTTGTCGCACCCGCTTTGAAAAGTCATCAGCAGCAATTTTCAAAAGTAACCTACATTGTTGATAGCTTAATTGATGGCTGACTGGGGCAAGGTCCTAAAGGTCCTCATTTACCGTCGGTGCCTAATTTAGATGCTATTTTGGAGTTGCTTGTGTACGTTTGGTGCCATTAAGCCTGTTATATCAGGGGAATCTGGTGATGATGGAAAGAAGAAGGAAAGTCTAAACTCACGTACAGGCCCCAAACTACTTCTGCACTTACCTCAGAGGTCTGACCTCATTTGGCCCATTACAAAATTTGGTAACATGGTTGTACGTGATCTATAATTGGGCACGTTTGTGATAAAATATGGACTTTTACTGTGGTTTTCATATTTGGATTTATATTGAAATAATAGCCACTGTCAACACCCCTGGAAAGCGCCATAACTCCATTTTACATTGAGGGTGATTACACTAGTCTTGTTGTCTAGCATATTGTAAACAGTTGTTGATAACATTTTCCACACTACATTGAAATGTCTTACAGTGTGTGCAACTTAATAATAAAATATATATATAATCAGGACCTAAATCATCCAAACTCACCAAAGTTTGAGAGGTCACCAAACCTGTAAGGAAGAACTCAGAGATTATATTTCAAGCTACCAAACCACCTTCAACATTCACTTTTCCTTGTTTTGGCGAACATGACATTACCACATAGGATTTTTCTGCAGTTCGAAAACTTTCTATTAAATTAAATATATTCTTAGTTTCAGGAGCCATCAGAAGAACTTCACATTTGCGGTAAATATATATTTTGCCACAATAAATACGTATACCAGCACTCAGTTACCACACTTATGTAACATGACAGACGGTTGGAGTGGCTTTATTTACATCCTGGATCCGTGCGCACTGACATACGTCTTTGACCATATTTTCAGCAATTCTCCCTAGATTACCCAGAGAAAGTTCATCCTCACACTAGCATCCTCCGTGTTTTCTAACAAATCATTTAGTTAGGTTGATAGGCTACAACTGGTGCTGGCTGTAACACGTCATGTGGCACTTTGCCAAAACCAGCGTGAATTGTTTGCCTTTATAACAGCAGATTTGCCAGTATTTGATGCATAGGTATTAGTGATCTGGTTAAACTATTTCACCACAGTTCAGGATCATTGTCTTACATTAACTCCTTATCCACGTGTGTGCCTTTGCTCTCCTACCACAGAAATAGTCGTCTGCGAATCTGGACGCTGTCTGCGCCCATGTACCAGCCTACTGAGACAGAGGTGTGCAGGGCTGCAGGCTGCAGGCAGGCCTTAGGGAAAACTATGGGTTGTCTTTGACCAGCTTTTTGCATACAGGGCACTGGACATGGGGCCGGACTAAGGTCACAGTAAATCACCCCGAGATCTCAGCTTTGCCCTCGGGTTCATAAGGTTATTGTGTCTGGCTATAGTGAGTTATAGCACCGAGAACTCACGAGGAGGCATAAAAGCCTCTGGCCTGTGTTTAATGTATTAGTGTTTGAACACTAAAGCTGTCTTTCTTGTGTAGTTTCTACGGAAGCACAGCTCAGAACAGAATATTTTAAGGACAGCCTACACTCCATGTGGGACCATATACGCCAGCAGTTATGCTGCTTGCGTTTACAGCAGTTTATAAGCCGTAGAACATGCATGCTGGGGTTGTGTGAAAGCAGCTCTCTTTATAACAGGCTAAAACGTCGTTCGACACTAACAAGCCTTATATGCTTTTGTCTACATTGAAGCGTGGCTGCACAAGGCTGCATAACCCACCAGTGAGCACCAAAACACGTCTCGCCAGCGCTGTTGCACAGAGTCATTCTCTGGCATTTTATGTCGCTTCTGCGTGACTATTGACTTCACCTCCTCTAATAAATTTGATTGCTTCCAGCGGCCTGTCCTATAGGCGCCATCGAAAAACGGGCCAAGAGTGGTCTATGGAGAGAAGAGCGGCGAAATGACTTAACAGCTTACTGCAGAGTAATTAGGTCACATTACATCCAGTGCAATTTCAAATTCATCTGTGCCGTTTATGTTTCCTTATACTTGAATCCCCAGAGTCCAGACATCAAGAGCAGCGGCCTTTAGGCCTATAACCTACCTTTCGCCTTTGCTCCATAGCTCCAACAGTTCTTCCTGTACACGTTTATAGAACAGTTTTCATGCCATTTAGCTCTATATTCTTGTCGATTGTTGTGAGAGCAGGCAGAGATATCCTCCTCTGAGTTGTGCCTCCCCTACTCCAGGAGCAAGCCCCTTGTTTATTCTGTATGACAGTCCCACTCTCTCAGTGTGATGTAGCATGTTTGGGCAGTCTGTTTGCTCATTCCACTTTGTCAATATCACATAAAGGCTGATGTTGAATGATAACCAAAGTGCTTTTGCAGGACGTAAATTGGGTATAGCAAGGTGTGCGCTTGTCAAAGCTGAGCCCACATGAGGCGAAAAAAAATTACCATGTGGTTTTGTACTCATATTTTGTGCCTAAGTGCTACAGCTTTAAAAAGAATTATAATGAAAATGTTCTATATTTAATATCACTGTTCCTCTAGATGTTTGTGCTTCTTTGCAAGGGTCGCCACATAAGAAGCTGATATAGTTGAACATTATAATTCAGAGATATGTTGTTTCACTTGTTCCTCAGACTCTTTAACGATTACAATAATATCAGATTCAGGCACTTTTACACAAGTGTCGCAGCCTTAGAGACGTGACGAGTCTAACCCCAGTGTTTTTCTTGTGTATTTGTCAGACGCTTGCGGCCTGTCGGACGCTGCTCACATCGAGAGCCTACAGGAGAAATCCCAGTGCGCCCTGGAGGAGTACGTGAGGAGCCAGTACCCGAACCAGCCCAGCCGCTTTGGGAAGCTCCTGCTGCGGCTGCCCTCTCTGCGCACCGTCTCCTCGTCGGTAATCGAGCAGCTGTTCTTCGTCCGCTTGGTAGGTAAAACTCCTATTGAAACCCTCATCAGGGATATGCTATTATCCGGGAGCAGCTTCAACTGGCCTTACATGTCCATCCAATGATCCTTATATGAAAGTGGGAAAATGAGAGGAAAAAAGGACCAAAATTCAGCACCCCTCACCCCATCCTCCTTCAAGAAGACTATATATAGGACCTTTTCTGAGAAACTTGGAAGACATTACTTTTTTTCTGTCTTCTGGGACTGATGGAATACATTATGTACAGAAAATATTGGAACTGGACTTCACATCTCTGTAAATCCACCCCCATCTTCAAGAACAATACTCTTCATTTTGTAAAATACTAGTCTTTATTTTCCTTTTTTGTAAAAAATACAAATAAAATGAAAAACATCATATGCGCAGTAAGAAAAAAGAATCAAGACTTAGCGGGAAAATAATGTTTCCAAGCAATTATAAGAATTGTCCTGTGTCTATGTACCTCTCTGTTTTGTATTTTTTCTGGTTCCAAACCAGGGTTTCTGTGATTCTATACTAATAATTTTTTGATATAACCTTTTGCTTCTTATAATGAGTGCGATATATGTTGTCGAAGCTATGTTCTCCAAGAATTAAAATTGAAGTGAGAATTTAAAAACAGAAAAATAAAGAAATTTAGACAAATAAGAAACAGTCTAATCGCTATGACAATATCACCACTGATGGTTGAACTTTTTTTCCCAATTGATACGATGGACCTGCAACTGCAGCAAACTGACCTCCAGGACATTTTTACTGAGAGGACGTCTGGGGCGCCTTTCCCCGGGCCATGAATGCGTGTGGAGTCGATCATCAGTCAAAGAGGAGAGACATGAAAATCAAAAGCACTTTTAATATATCATTTCAAATACATTTTGTTTGTTTCGTCTTGAACATTTTCATTGTTTCTTGAATTTTATTGGTTGTTGCCTTCAATTTGCTTACTCCATGATGCAGCTTTTTGCAGAAGGGTCGGTTGATGAAGTTGTGTGATGGTGACTGTACTATTAAAAAAAGAAATAGGCAACGATGTCTCATTCTCAAGCATTTTCCTGGAAGCAAATGTCAAGGTGCTCGGGCTTTTTTTAAGCATCTGAGAGAATCTATCTCTGTGCGCTCCTGGCACAAGTGCAGTTGCGTCAGTATATCCTGTATTGTCTTACTGAAACATGTTATTCTGAATACACTGTTTATCTCTATTACACCTACCAGTGAAAACGAGGTGGTACAGGGGGTTAAATGTGGTAATGGTACAATGGTTGCATGCATTACATTTTAACAGACCAACGGACGTAACTGGCAATGCAGGCACAAAAAAGGGAAGGCTACATGTGAGGAAGTACAGCAGTGAGCTCTCTGCCGGCCTGTTAGCGCATTAATGTTTAATATTTTTCCCAGACAGCGAGGAAAGCCTGCGCACCACACAGAGCCACCTCCATCTTACCTCCTATGGCTTAATCAAAGTGATTCTCCACAAGCCAAACACTATTCCCCTCTGCCCCGTTCGTAAAAACTTTGCCTTGATAGAGCATGGCTCAATATTGATGTAGGCGTCATTTGGCAAAAGGGTTAGGCCCGGCTGCAAAGCTGCTGTGATATGCGTGATCAATCTGGAAAATGTATTTTACAGCATGTAAGCCAGTCGATAGGAACACCGAGTGTGATGCATTGTGTGAGAATAGAGGGGATGAAGGAGGAAGAAGGAAAGAAAGAGAGAGAGAGAGTCTATGGGGGCAGTGCAGAGGCAAATGAAACGTGTGATCAGGAAGGCAAGTGTGTGTGTGTGTGAGAGAGAGAGAGAGAGAGAGAGAGGAATAGAGGGGGAGAGAAAGAGATACATTCTGAGTCTAATGCGTATATCGATAAGTCCTCAATATACTAGATGGGCTTCTGTCCTTGCACTGGTCTGTCTGTGTGCGCCTTCCCTATTTTTCGTCTCCATATACTACACAAATGACATCTGAAGCCCAGTTATGGACCTAGAGCTACCCTCGGTGTCGTTACTGCGTTACACTCACACCTAGAGTGATAAAATGTGATAAATTAGAAGGCGTTATAAAGAAGAAAATGGGTTTTCAGTGTGACAATTATTAAATTTGCCTGTTAGTCCTCCACTCTTCATCATCAGACGTGTTGCTTGTGTGCCATATTGCCCACATCTTCATCTGCTGACTGGCAGTGATGAGGGGCAGGAGGACAGGAGCAGAGCTGCATGTAGCACGTTGCAGATATAGTTGTTGGAGCAGGTGTTGTGGTTGGAGCTGGCGGTGGTGGTGGGGGGGGGGGGGGGGGTATTCTGCTAGTGGGTTATTTATTTGTTATTGCCTGTCTCGTTCAAAGGCTACGATATTAAGCTATTTTATAGTTCGCTCTCATGCTGAAATTATGCTATAGGCTGTGCTTTAAGTTGTCCTCCGGTGTTCTTTCGAGAGCAACGTTTTTATTCTGGTGATTAATGTCTGGCCAGGCATATTGTAGCCCACTTATTAGCTACCAGTCGACCTGTCTGTGGCACTGGGTCAGTTGTCAGACGCCTTGTTGTTGCCTAGGCTACTGTACAAACATAAATGTGATATTTCTTCAGGTTAGATTGTTGTTTTCGTACTGTGGAATTCTTTCTTCCTGAGCTATGGGTCACATGAAAGTTGCAGAATAATGCGCTTTCTTTTTGTTGTACAATAGAAGCAGAATATGCTGAACTTATCCCCCTAGAAAAAGGAAATGAAACCCTCTAAAACTCAGCCTTAAAGCATATGATACCCCACCCCCCATCCCCCCACCCAAAAAAAACCCCACCATATCATAACTGAAGCTTATTTAGCGCGTTTGTCTTAACCGGTTTTTGGGGAATAATCCAGAGGATCGTTTCAGTGGATGGGACTGTAAATGTTTGTTTTTCAAAGAAAATGAATCTGGTTTCACCATGGCCATCACAACAGTCCGGGTCGTTTTTATTTTATGTAACTCAGGACTAAATTGTTTGCTGGGTTATTAAACGCAGCTTTCAGCTGCTTGTCTCACCATAATGTATTCTAAACCCCTGTAGAGTAACTATCCTCTAGTTGAGAGCATTCTGTTATACAATTGTTACACTACAGGCTATATAAAGCAATGGTTCAAAAACAGATGAAATGGTGGCATGTGTTCCTAATTAACGTTTCTGTATAGGCAATGCAAGCAAAACACGAGAGAACTCCAGGAAAATGAATATTTTATATTTAGACTGTGCACCATTTTTGGCTCTCTTCGTTTTGACAGAAGCTCAAATTAGTATATTTCGCAACACTTCAAATATTGAAATAATAGCCTTCAAATATTAGCCTTATTTTCGTGATGTGTCTACTAGACGTTTATCATCAAATTCCTCTTCTTCTGGTGTGATGACAGCACAATGTATACTGAATTAAATAAAAGAAAAGAGGAAAGTACAAAGTGCACTAAGGGAGGAGTACATGCATTGCCAGGTTGGACTCTGGCTGCGGTGGGTGAAGGAGATGGATATGTGGAGCACTATAGGCCCCATTTGTGTCTCTGTAATTTCGGAAACTCCGGTTACCAAAGTGTTACTACAAAATGAGTTAAATAACCATTTACCTTTGTCTGGTTTCATTCATCAAACCACAAGTGGAAGACTCCTAACATGGGGGGCTATTTGTTTGCTTTACACAAGCAGCTGGGTGCGATTTCACGTTTGAGATATCTGTCTGAGGGCGAAACATTTATTATCCTAAGTTGTCAGCCAACCTATTTTTCGAAAACCCTCAATGCAAGCCAGTGGTTTTATGCAGCTGCGGAAGGGTCCTACCGGCATTAACGTCACTTGATTTCATTTGTAGAAGCCTGGTTTTCACATCTGACAAATACTGTTGTTTGAGACAATAACACTTTTCAAATAAGTAGCTCCGTGTATGAATGGGGAGGCCCTCTAAAATATGACACGGCTTATTTCTCATATTGTCTTGTGCCTAAAAATGATGGCAACACAAGACAACAAGTGCTTCGTCTTGTCTGCCACGCACCTCATCTATACACGAGATGGCAAAATGGCTGGGAACTGCAGAGAGAGGACAAATGTCCAAAATTACATAGATTCTCGTGATGCTTGTGCTATATCACTGCAAACAGCCTGAGTTGCTTGTTGTACTGACTGTATACAGTCAATGAAGAGAGGCTTATCTTATGATTACAGCGTGCTGGTCTGAGATCAGTCTGTGAACCTCATAGTCAACCTTTAAGCCATGGATCAAATCCAGCCCTGCGGGGAATAAAATACCCCTAGTTGTGAATGTAACATAAGGGGACGGCGCTCGGGGGCACCTCCCTGCGCCCGTGTCGGTGTGTGTAGCTCATGCGTCTCTGTGTGTCTACGCGCAAGTTTGTCACGATTGTCACAATTGTGTGTAGGCAACAGTAGGATTTTTATATGTGTGTGTGAGGTCTTTCTGTATGTATGTGTGCGGGCGCGTTCTTTGTATGTCCGTGCGTAAAAAGCGTGTATGTATCAGCGTACGTAGCCTACGGGTGCGCGCGTACTGGTCGAGAGAGAAAGAGAAGTGGTTGTGAGAAAGCCCGGATCGCTGTGTAAGCGGATCCCTTTGTGTTGATTTAGGAAGACGTTTGCTGTATATAACGTTCAAGGCTGATAATATCATTGCCTGGCCAGATAAATAAAGCACTGGCCAGACCGTCGGGTCAGCTATCGATCCGCTTTTTCTCCCCGAGAGGGGAGTGAGGGTGGGGGGAGGGACGGAGGAGGAGGTACGCAGGAGGAGGAGGAGGAGGAGGGGGAATTGAGAAAGAGAAGGAGAGAAAGGGAGACCTCACTCATTAGCATTCCACAGCCATGGACTAAACGCTGACAACTAACAGAGATATCCAGCTCTACACCACCGCATGCATTTTCCCCCTTTGTCTTCTTCCCCATGGCCCTTCATTTCCAGGGGACAGATCTCTCGTCACAGCCAACACGTTTTTTATTTATGCCTTCTCCACTCTTTTCGCACAAATGGACCCGGTGCACAAGAGAGAAAACCTCCCAGTAAAGCAGAGAGAAAAAAGGGGAGTGATGTTGTAAAAGCTGTGCAGAAGTGACAGCGCTAAGCACACCGGCTTTACTTTGGAAAGATACAATTTTGTGTGGCTTGACAAAATAAAAGTGGAAACCGTTTTACACTGCAAACTAAATACTGTTACATTTAAATATCTGAGGTTAAAAAAAGCAGCCTCAGAGCTTCATTATGAGAAGGTGAATGATAATTTAATTCCCCAGTTAATTAGTACGTCAATATTTTTCTACTTAGCTTGTTTCCATTTACTGTCACAACTGCAGAAAATGTTTTTTGTCATAAAACGTTTGTGCAGTAGTTCTCTTTTAACGGTGTTCCATTAAAGCTGTTGAATAGGATAAACATGCAGACTTAATAACGCCGTCAGACCAAAATCACTGGATTCAGAATCTGTGAGCCTTGAAAAGCTGTCAAATAAAAGAGTTACACTTAGAATATTTTAGGGACAAAACATCTCCGACTGAATAAACTAAAACTTTGAAAGATCTGGAAAAAAGTGATATGACTATGAAGTGACTCCATTATCTGGAGATGCTGCTTTTTTCAGATGAATATATCTTAATATGCGCTCAAGTGTTTCCCAATAATGACAGCTGTTCATCTGATAGTAACTTCTTTCCAAGTTTTCTCCCCTCCCACCCCGGGGCCCCCGGTCTCTGTCTTGCTTTGTTGTTTTAAAATATGCATGTCTCTCCGGAATGCCAGTCACGGGTCCAAACTTTGTGTGTCCCAACCTCCCACATGATGAAATGATCCTTTTAAAGCGAGCTCAATATGTCTCAATCTGCACTCCTCTTCCCCCTGTAAAGCTTCTGGGCTCGGGACAAGGCCCAGAAATATATTAATTAAAGCGCACTACTACAGCCTCTTTAGTACTGGGGAAGGAGCAGTTGGATCAAGTCAAGCTCTGTCAGCGACGGATGGATAAAGATTCACGACAGGAAAAGAGAAAAAGTAAGGCTCATTTTGATGCTCTCTCCCTGTCTCCTTCTCCTCCTCCTCTCTTTTTACTTGTGTGTGCGTGCGTGTGTGTGTGTGTGTGCGTGTGTGCGTGTGAGTTCTTGTGTGTACTTCGAACTGAAGCGGATAAAGCCAGGGGGAGTGAGTGAGAAAGAGAGAGGGAGAAAGTGAGAGAAAGGGGTGGAGGGATATATAAGTAAAACTAAATGAGGGTGGACGTGTGTCTATGTTTCTGTGTGTCCGTATACATGCGTGCCTGCGTGCGCGCGCGTCTGTATATGCTTGTACCAAGAAATTAATCAGCAAAAAACTACAAAGTGTAAGTTTCCTCACTCTGTGAGCAGCCTACATGGGCCCTTGTTTGCATGAATGGGGGTGTTTACATGTATAAATGATGTGGAGAGTAAATCACAGCACATGAATAAAGAGACCAGGATGGTCTGGAAGGAAATGCCTCGGTTTAAAGGTTGAATCCGATGTAACCATGCGTTTGCAGCTCAGGTCGAGGCTCTTGATTCCCTCTGTCAGGTCTGAGAGGATGTGTGTACGTTTCTCAGCGCGGTGAAGTGCTAAAAGACAAAGCGACGTGCGCGTATAATAATTAGCACCGCACTCAGCTGCTAAATTGATCAGATGTGGAGAAAGTTGGAGTTGAAGCCCGCTAACCTGTTGCTCCTGGTCCAAACAACAACAACAACCCTAATCGTGTGATAACATCCCATGAGCCCTGCGGCGTTTCATCCCATAATAATCCGCCCCTTTAAAAATGTAAACACACCAACACTGAGAGATCTGCACAAACAAATTGAATGTATTTACCGTGTTCATGTATTAAATTCAGACACGTTTTAAGAGACATCCCAACAGTCTGATTATGTCAACATATGGGAGGCCATGCAGCAAGGCCCGGGCTTACATACCTGATAACGCCTGAGCTTTTCAGCAATATTTACGGCTTCTCTATCTAATACACTCCAGATGGTGTGTGACTGTGCCACCGCACTCAGCGAGCTCCTCAATTTTTACTCAGCAACATTTTGTTGCAATTACATCAACACTGAGACAGAATTTATTGGTGACCTAATTTGTCTGCATTAAATGCAAAAATAAAAAGAATAAAAAAATAAAGGAAACACGGTTTGGCCACTGTTAAGCTCCTCCTTATTTGCACGTGTCGTTTTTAAACCGCTCTAAAGTTTACTTTTGCAAAAATCTTTTAAAAGTCTCATTAAAGTACAGAGCTCAAATAGCCCCCATTTATGCTTTGATGGCTTAATATATTACGAAGACAAAACACGGGCCGCATTCATGGCTGGCCAATCTTTGTTGTCGCCTGTGTATTTTTTCAAGCCAGTCACTCAGGCAGAATAAAGCCGGAGTGAGCCCACACCCTCTCTAGTCTTTTGCTATATTATCCACTGACAATAAATTGGTGAGCTTTTCAGCAGGTATCCAACCTCTCCACTAAACACGTGAAATGTCATTTGCTAAGGATGTGGTTAATAGACTCATTCCGTTTATATATATACACTGTATATACTTTTATTATTATTGGAGTAGTTAGTAAAAGTAAGTGTGTCTTCTGCAGAGCATCTTGTTTTTTCAGTGCGTTTGTGCAAACACTCAGGAAAGTGTTATCTGAATACAGAAATTACATCTATCTATGTATCTATCTCTCTATCTATCTATCTATCTATCTATCTATCTATCTATCTATCTATCTATCTAGTGTGTGCTGTTTTATTTTACTGTCAGAGTTGTAGTTCATACTGTTGCTATCTGTTACCTGGATTGCTCAGAGAAGCTGCTGTAGGTCTATTATGATTGACTGAAACGATGCATTGAAGGGTATTTTTCATCTATGCCACGGGGAACCGCGCCTGACAGTGGTAAGGTTTCCCACTGACTCCCTTTAGTCTCCATGCTTGGTTCTCTCTCTCTCTCTCCCTCTCTCCCTCTCTCTCTCCCTCACTCTCTCTGCTCAGAGAACATGCGGCATGTTGATAAATACATGTCTTTTTTCCATCGTACTCAGCATCATCCATCAAATTTGTGTGTCCATGTTACACTGTGCTTAAGGGAGGGAGGGGATGCCGGTAGTCGAGCAGAAACACACTAGATCGCCAACAAGGGGATGTGCTGCTCTCTCTGCACACTAAATGGTTACTTGATCATTCGCGCTGTGTTCTGGTCATGTTAATGTGGTGAATTCTCTTAAGTCAGGTTATGCCAGGGTTATGCTGTGTGCATATTTTTTACCCGTTTTTTTTTTTTTTTTTTTTTTTTTGCTGTGCTCTCTGGGTTAATAACCTCTTCACGCACTATAACCACTGTGTTTTGATCCTAGAAATAAGTTGGATAGAGCTTGGACCACTCTAGAGAAGGCCAGTCGCCTTGTGGTTGCAAACTCTTTGTGGCCCCACATACCGCCGCTGTGATTATAGAAGTGCCTCCTCTCCCTTGTTAAAGGACAGAAGCTCTAATCTAGCCTCTGTGTCGCCCCAAAAGCTAGCTGCTATAGTGAAGATGTGTGTGTGCGTGCGTGCGTAAGAGTGAGTGGGGGTCGGTTGGAGAAAAGTCACTTCTCTTCAAAGGCCATAAACGCATCTCATTTGAATGGCGATTTTTCTAGGTGCTATTTCACAGCCAAGATTCCTGAATGTGTATTTTTTGTGCGATATTGAATTCCTAGATGGCTCTGGTGGAGGGATATCAATATTCCCATTTCTCCACAAGCTGCATTCTGCTGCCAGTGTGGTATTTTGTTCATGACTACACTACAGACACCACCGCCTCCATTCCTGCGCCCCCCCACCACCCCACCCCACCCCGTTCAAATGCATTTGCATCCGTTGATGATATCAGTAAAGAATTGCTGGCACCGTATGAGGCAGGGTGGGGGAAGAAGGCTTATTTGGATAAAACTGGACTGCAGAGTGGACACGGCCCTAAAGGTCAGTCACCCATTCATGTCAAGGTGGCAGGGGGTGTGTGTGTGTTGGGGGGTCGGAATGGGATTGCCAAAGAGGCTTATTTGCAAGCGGGCGTATATTTGAAGCAAGGGAGTGAAAAGAAGTGGACCACAAAGCTCTTCATACTTCAAATAACGCCTCGTCACATCTTCACTCTTCCCTTTCCAAGCAGGCGGCTGGTATATAAGGAAGGTGGGGTCTCAACACTATGGCATGGCCTGCAGAAACATGTAGCAGAAAATAAAACATGGGTTCCACAGAGTGGATCATAGGTGCACAAAAGAATGGGTTTCTGGGGTTCCCCTTTACTGGGTTACTCCGATTTGTGCAAATAAAATAGTGGGTGAATTCAAATAAGGGGCCCACTGTGATTGTTAGAAAGGTCCTTTAATGCTACTGATGTGGAACATCTCGTATAATCTCACGGGCTTGTTTACAGCACCATAATGCTGACGAGATAGAAAACCCTTCTGAAAGCATTCTTTAGAGCACAAAACAGTGCTTTGCCACAGAGCCAACCTATAATTTTCAGATTACTAGACTATATAGTAGATTTCTGGTACTAGTGCAGAATGCAAAAAAATGTCTTTAAAAAGAAAAAGGGAAATAAAAAAGAAAAAGGTATGTATGGTACATAGTGCAGCTGTTCTGTGGTCTTACAAAAGCAGACATTATGCCACTCACTTTTCAAATATTTCCTAGATTTTTTTTTTCTAAACTATAGTGATGTCATTTTGTATTAATTTTGTTCTTTATGTAACACATCACCAGTGACCAGATACCGCTTCCACTCACAACATCCTCACCACCGACTAGTAGATCATGTAAACAATATCACGTAATGACAGAACACGCACTAAAACTGCAAATATATTGAATTAATAAATCAATTAATGCACTCTCCTGACGCACATACTGGGTACCCTAATTTACTTTGAGGGCACAGTCACCATCCGTCGCGAGTGTCTACGCGCACGCCCCCAAACACATACGCGCACACGCGTACAGACATCTCTTCATCACTGTGCATATATAATAAAATGAGGTGAGGTCCATCGCAGTGGATCGAGTCACAGTTCCATTACAGCTATTTCCAAATGGTGGCCTAGTTGTGAGTTTGCCTGCACAGTCTAAACTTTGCTTTCACCGTGGAGGCTGTGGGGGATTAGTGAAAGCCTTAACCCAGCCACTGTTGTCACAAATTGCTGGTTGTCTCGGGGCGAATGACGAGATAACGAATATGAGAATTTTTGCCTCTGACACCTCGGTTCATATATCACTGCAAAAGCAGAGTAATCACTCATGTGTTGTCTTACACTTCGGCGTCATGTTTAAGTGATGTCTTAAAATTGTACATTTGGATTTATTTTACTTCCTAAACCTTAAAAAAAAAACAAATAAAAATGTATTTTGTAGTTTGGCTTTGGGTATATGCTCTAATTCACTATGTGAATGATCTAAAATGATATACATATTGTGTCACCTATAAAACAAGATCAAAGATGTCATGTCAATCTAACCTTTAACAGCAAATCGCAGGATGAATGAAGTACAGGGAAGTCTGATCATTTTAGATACAGTACTCTGCACTGATTGGTGCCTTAATAGTGCTTGTGCTCCTCTGCTCGCGATTAGACTTTTAGCACTGCCATTGTTATTATTCATCATTATTACTGCTGGTACTGTAGATGACATAACCACTATTGCTGTTACTGCACCATCATTACCAGCTATAATGTTTCAGGGAAAGCGACTTATTTCTGCCTTTGTATATAAAATAATGGCTGCTGTGAGGAAGGGAAGATTACTACAAGTGGACGAGGATGGACGCATATCACTGACCATTTTACACACGACTCCACTTTTTTTCTGTGGTCAAACCCTCTTAACACCAGTCAGACCTGTATATATATATATGAAACTGATTCGCAAATATGCACTCGACAGAAGATGTATTGTTTGCTTGTGCACATACACATCCCCAGTAAAGCGCTGTGATGAAGCTTGAGAGTGATAATATCG